AAGATCCTGAGCGGGAGCCAGGCAAAGTAGCAGATGTAAGGTAGGGGCCTCTATAATTCGAATCAGAATAGGGTTTCGGGGCCCACTAGGAACCCCCAAAAGAGTATTGGTAATTATTTAGGCCCCTACATTAGCAGCGGTATAAGAACCACAACGCGGGGATCTTCACAGCAGAGGCTCTGCGGGGTGCGGGCAAGCCTTGGACTTCCCAGAGGCACGCCGCAGACAGGCCCGCATTGCCCGGTTGCTGTTGAATTGAATTCCAACCTGGCAGAACCGCGTGCTTGCGATACTCCGCAACGCTGAAAAGCTGAGATTCTCTCCGAAACCGATTGCTTCAGCGGGCCTCAGCCGCCATGGTCGTCGGAATCTTCGTCGCAGTTCATGATCAAAAACTGCCGGTCGAGCAGGACGGGTGAGAGCATTGACCTCGTTGTCTGTTGTTTAGGAGTGACATGGACTGAAGGCTAGCGGCTATTGACATCTCGATCTTTCAAGCCCGTGCTCATGCGCGAATCTACCTCCATCTAGTCGGACGGGAGGAAGCTAGGCACACACTCCAATTCGCTCCAACAATGCCAAAGGACAGGATTCCGAAGCCTACAGCCAGGGTTGGTGACATTTCGGAGAGGTTTGCACCGCTTGGCGCAATAGCGTTTCGATTGGCACGAAACCCGGCATTGCTCCAGTTCATGTTTTCGGAAACCCCAATGACCCCTTCCCGGCAAGCGAGCTCTCGTCAGTAGGTCAGCCTTTCTTGCTTCCTAGGCAGCCCACTTTTAGTTGTCTGCGCCGTTTTACTCGTGCAGCCGGGGCACGCAACTAATTTGTCCAGATGAAGGAAGATCTGGTCGTCCGTCATCATGCCGTGGACAGTGAAGATAGACAGGAATGCTGAGACTTCTGGGCTTGAGCCTTGATGTCGCCAAAGCAAGCAGCCGATGGTTCACCGTTTCGCATGCCAAGGTTGAGCAGGATATACGTGGGCTTACGGATACTTCCACTTTGGGAGCTTTTGGCAGGGACAAGAAACCACTTTCCACAAGGAAGGCCGGTCCGGCACAGTGTTAGGGCTGTTAGGCTGCCTTTTGAGGCTGAAGGCATTCTACTCCGGATTTTGACAACAGGTCGGACGGAGGATCCTGGCAGGTGACCGGTGGCCACTCCGCTTACACATGTTGGTCTGTGAATCCCCCTGATGCACAAATCGGCAAGCGATCCCCGACAAGATGCTGCAGTGCATGAGCATCCGAAAGAGCTTCCCTACGCATCAAGAAGCAACATGAAAATCTAAATCTTAAATCCAAGTCCCCGAAGCCAAGGACCCGCAAAAGCTCCAGGGACCCGGCCGAAGCGCTGAGCTCACGCAAACGCTCCTTCTTCCGAAAGCTTCGAAATCGGCCCCATTTGCAAAACACCGAGCAGTCCCTTCTTCTCTGCAGGCGTCCTGCAACTTCTTGAGATCCTCTTCCAGCGCGTTTTTCTCATCCCTGGTCACCTGAACGAGCAGCTGGCCCATAGGAGCGAACGAATGTTAAGCATATGGGAGTTTCCGAAAATTTGGGGTACCTTATTTGGGGTCCTGATAATATGGATCCCCTATTTTCGGAAACCCCCATATTGCAACGTCGTCATGCATGACCCGTAGTGGTCGTCCCAGGGGCTCAAGGCGGCAAGATCGTACGGCTGACATGTTCTTAGAAGAGTCGCATGGCCCAGAAGATGGGGCAAGGGTCCTTGATACCAGGATTAAGATGGATAAAGCATAACAAAGACACCGATGGTCCGCAGCGACACATACAGCTGCCACTCGCTGGACCAGCATAACGGAACAGGCTCAAATTTCGTGCGATTCTGGCAGCTGCGATGTCAAAGGTTCAGGCCTTCAACTCCGACCGGTACATGTCCGTCTCCTTCGCAGCTGCCGAGTAAAGCGAGGGCCCGGGTGGCCCAGAGGGACTGCGAAGAGTTCTGGTGGAGCCCTCCGCTCTCTTTTGCTGCGTCCTTGGCGAACATGTCACGCATGGACTGGGCTTCCAGGAGCTTCTCCTGCCAAGCAGGGACTTCATGTTTCAGACTTACGGTCGACGCAATGGGCAAGGAGTCCTGCAAGTCAAACACAGGACAGCTGCTGCTCAGCACTTTGCATTCTTCCCAAGGTGTCGGAAAGTGTTGGGCATTGTTGGGCCTTCTAGTGATCTACAGCTTCTGTATGCTGGGGGGGATCATCCCAGTCTGGAGTCACTATGACTGTTGCCCTGCACACTGAACTCGGAGCCCTCGCACAAACAAGTTGCAACCTCAACAAGCCAAGAATCTCCAAACCACCGAACCCTGTCAGTACCAACGCGGGGCAATTCTCGATTGCACTGTCATCGCAATCCCACTTATGATTTCCAGCATCGTGCTCCTTCCGAATATGACTGCTATCCTACCATGGATACTGCGATTGCGAGTACTCTTGTCGCCTACCATCCCCACACCCCAAATGTTCTAAAGCCCTAAACACCAAAGCCAACAGCACTCCAGCGCAGAAAGCCAAAGCCTAAACTGCTCCAGTGCGGTTCCTCTGCACCGAGCGCTCGCTCACTGAGCTCCCTGGCCTCCAGGGTTGATGGTTGTCATGTTTTGTTTCTTGCTTCTCTTCTGTATATATATATATATATTTCTATATTTATATCTTTACACACATGAATATACTAATACATACACACACGCAATAACGCACAGATGCTCAAACAGGATATGTATGTATCATGGCTCATCATATTGCTTGTCCGGTGGATTATATCTTGGCACTTCTGCGGCTTCGTGTTTGAACATGCATCATCTCATGCCGGTCGTCTATCCATCGTTCCATGCTGTCGTAATACCGTCATAGAGATCACAGTCTCATTTAAATGTAGTTTTCTCTTACTACAAACTCTTATTCTATCATGCCATGCATGGAATCGCCTTGGACATGATTCTGATGTGATGTGACAGGTGCGAACTCCGATTCTGGGGTGCGAGGACTCACTGGGATCCAAAAAAAACGCGTTGCGGACGGCGTGGCACGCTCAAGGCTGCGACATATCTTTCAATGCAAGTCCTTGCACCGAAGTCAAGTGCAAAGAGCCTTCACCTCGGCGGCACGCAGCGCCTGCACAAGGGGCAAGGTCGCGTCCAAGGCACCACCACGTGTGTGATCACTCTCACCCCATCCCATTCCTGTTCAACCGACAGGACTATGGATTCAAAAGCCTGCTTTGGAGAAAGCTCGTCCTCAACCGCGTGGCGAGGTCAGTACAGTAGTGTCTGCTGGCAAATTAGTGTCTGTCTCCTGTCGTCTCGACTGCACTGCCACGAAGTTCTTCAGCACCACCCCAGGTCGAACTCTTTGGCTGTCCTGTCTGCAACAGCCATTCCTTCGCCACAGTCCAAAGAGCCAATAGCTCATCCGAGAGAGCATTCAAGCTTGTGACTCGAAAATGGTGCGTGCTACATTGCTACATGTGCATTAATCCCTGTGCCCTTCTACCGTGTAGCGGTACAGCAAACCACTGTCTTACTTACCTACTTACCTACCTGCGTAGCTACCCACCTACCTACCCACATGCATACGTGCATGAATGCATGTGCACGGGCATGCAAAGTGACAACAAGGTGCGTCCGTACGTGCACACATATATACATACATGTCACGCAGACAAACACATTCACGACCAAGGTAGTGTTCATCATCTTGCCCATGAGCCCAACCTATGCCACTGCCATTCAATCATTTGTTTTACTGTCTTGCCTGAAGTTTCATTGCCAAGCCTCACAGTAAAATGTCCGATTGGAGTGCAAAGCAGAGGCCTCTTCGTTTCCTGCACCGTGGCTCTCCTCTGCATGTGCCAGCCTCTGCTGAGCCTGGTCGAGCGCCCAAGCTGGAGGGAAGCTAAGAAGGCTGCTTGCATGTGCTTTCGAGCGAGAGGGTCCCTGCGAGTTTAGTTTCACTGGAGGCTCAAGTGAGCCTCTCCCAGGGACACCGAGAGGTCCACACACTTCTGCTGCTCCTCCTGCAGTTGCACCTGCGTTACCAGCAAATCAAGTGCTTGGACGGGATCTAGTGGTCGCTGGTCGACTACTTGTTGCCAGATGTGCGAGGCATCAGCAACAGCTGGTGCGAATCGCGAACTACGCAGAAAAGGAGACAGATTTTACCGGACTTGCCCTCGCGCCTTTTTTCTGCACGAATGTTACTGTGTGTTGCAAAAATCGGTTTCGCTGTGTGTATGGCAAAAGTTCAGCCAACCCCGACAAAAGTGCGTCAAGCTCTCGTTGTGTTGAAGACTGCCTCCCTAGTTGGTGCAGCCGAAAGTTAGCCAGACCAGGCACGCACGCCCATTCTTTTTTCTGCGGGATTAAAAGTTCGGGCAGGCGCTAGCCTTTTGCAAGCTGGCCAAGTAATGTACACCGCGGGAAGCCGAGACCATGAGCTGAAGGTGACGAGGATTCGAGGTTGGTGGTCACTACCAACCATGATATCAGAATCTAGAACTATAAATAAATAACTATATATATATATACATATATATACATACATATATGAAATAGATATAACATATACCTTTATCGAGATATATATATATATATAGAGTTCTAGTCATGTTCATGGCACTTTGTCAGTTTCTGCACCCCAAGGATTTGGGCTGCTGATCACTTTGGATCAATGCCACGGCCTCCCGCGCCCGGCAGTAGGCCGGGAGTTTAGACTCGTTTCGGTGGATGTCCACGCATACTGGCATATATACATAAAGAGAGATAAAGTTTCACAAGTGCATGCAGAGAATCATAGATATACTCATGTACAAGGACAGCAAGACAAATCGGGAGTTGGATAGTCAGGTAAAGATAAAGTAGGTAGTTCGAGTCGGTGCGCTGGCATGCTACTCGTGCACTCATTGTATACTCCCTGAACGAACGACTGGCCAAAAATCCTGCTCTTTCTGTTTTCCATGTGAGCGCAGCACTCTTCACTGTGGATTCCAGGCTCCTGTGACCGCATTGTCAAATTGTGAAGCCAGCTGTTTTACGTACGCCGGCATAAGTTTGGGCAGGTCTGGATATATGTCTATCTGTTCTGTCTTTCTCTGTGTATACGTACATATAGACAGAATATGAGGGTTCAGTCTACATTTGCATTTCGTCGTTGCTGACGGTGTTTGACAGAGCATACGAGAATACGAACTACAAGACATCATGCAAGGAATACATTATACGAAGTTACGTGCATACATAGGCACAGTCATTTGCTTTTCGCTTTTCGGGGCAAAGAGTCCGATTCGGACGCTGCCGGGAAAGGGGCCATGCACCTAATTTGGTTGACAGTACGTACATACATATATATATATATATACACACATTATGTATTTTGTGCGAAAAGCAGATTGGCACAGCGGTGCTGAAATGCTCGTGAAGGACACCATCAAACCTGAGCCCTGTGGTATGTCTTTGTTCTAACATGGGCCCCTCCAAAGCTCAACTTTCAACGCCTCGTGGAATCAGCATGAATGCCCCATTTCCTCTGAAAAGTCTGGCCAAATCCCCGCTTCGTCACTTTAGGTGTCCTTACCAACTCTAGGCTCTGAAGCCTCCCATGATATTTGGGGGGTTTCCGAAAATAGGGGACCCTAATATAGTACCCTCAATAATAGGATCCTTAGTATAAGGACCCCCAAAATAAGGTACCCCTAATTTTCGGAAACTCACATTTTCCTTCTTGCACCGCTATTTTGTTCCCGGACTCCTCTGAGGCACATTGCAGGCCGCGGAGGGCGCTGATACACCGCTGGCGCCACGTTGGACGCCAAAACCTCGGCCAGGGGCAGTGTTTGCGAGCTGAAACTGAGATCTCTTAAGAACAGTTGGGTGCTAGAGCCTCTGCGTCCGGTGGCGAGTATCTACAGAGACGGCGAAGCTGCACTGCACTGTGTCTAGTGAGCTCATGTTGGGCCGTGATTCCGGGAGGCACGCTTGACAGGATCCTTGCATCGCCGGGCTGATCCTGGAAGTGAAGTCTGGTGGATTGGACCGGCAAGCATGGCCCTTGCATCAGCTGCAGTCATGTAATCCACTTGATGCACCCCCCTCCCCCCGAATCGACAGATCAGCAAACAGCCTTGCAGAAGAAGACCAGGCCTTGTCGCTGCAGGCGCAGCGGCAGAGTTCTGCCAAGTGCAGCAGACTATGATGCCATGCTTTCCATGCTTCTCAGACTCTTTGGCCTGCGAGGTCGTCCGCGCCCCTGCAGACATCCGGTGATACGATCAAACTTCATAAGTACAGCAAGACAAAGGGAGATTCCAGTCCGGCCCCCTGGCCCTGCTGCCTGCAGATATTTGCATGGGGCTGTTGTGGCGCGCTGCGCAGGCTTGCGCCGGCAGCCTCAAACCGAGAAAAGTCAAACAAGAGCCCCAGAACTCAAGCTGGGTCCTGTGGTGCAAGTCGTCTGCATATCTGGAGCGAGCTGGCTTGCAGCGCCCGTCTCGAAGAGCTCCGAGGCAGTAGCTGTACCGGATGCTGGTAGTGGACGATCGGGGCCGGGCTGCCTTCGGACGAGAGTCCAAGGCATAGAATGAAGATGAAGCTGAGTACGCCCAGCAGGAAGCATACTGCAATGACCCGGTGTTCATCACCATCACCATCCACGATCAGCCTCACCCACCTCCATCACCAACACAAGCAGAAGCAGAAGAAGCAGCAGCACGACTCCATCAACTTCGCTGTCATCACCACGACCGCAAGCCCCGTCATCATTATCATGGTCTGGTGGATGTATCTTTGCATAGCCTCCTTAGTCCAGCTTTACCGGGAGTAACACCTGCTAAACTCCAATACAAGGCCACGCCTATGAATACAAAGCTGTTCACATGTTATTATGTTATGCATCTTGCGCCCGCCCTTGCGCGAGCTTGTGTGCGCACGGTCTTTAACTACGTATTTTCAACCACCATGCAACACCCCAATGCCTACCCTACTCTTCCTACAAGGCGCGGGCGCTTGGAACGGCATCCATTTGGGGGTTTCCGAAAATAGGGGACCCTAATATAGTACCCTAAATGATAGGATCCCTATTATAAGGAGCCCAAAACAAGGTACCCCTAATTTTCTGAAACTCCCATTTGACTATCTTGTAGCCACACCAGGCCTGATCGCGATGCGGTCATGGCGTCGTTATTCACGGCCTCCGATGCTCGAAGAGGCATCACTTTCGAACTTAGGGTGCTACACCAGGTTAAGTCTTTCAGTGAGAGCATGGTAAGTATAACCCATATTAGGGGACTTATAACCCCACTTATAACTACCCATGAACCCTAAACCCTACAGAACCCTTTAAAAGGAACCTTAAAACCCCACTTATAACTACCCCTAAACCCTAAACCCCATAGAACCCTTTAAAGGAACCCCATAACCCCACTTATAACTACCCATGAACCCTAAACCCTATAGAACCCTTTAAAAGGAACCTTATCACCCCACATTATAACTACCCCTAAACCCTAAGCCCTATAGAACCCTTTACAGGAGCCCTTAAAGGAACCCCATGAACCCCACATTTTAACTACCCATGAACCCTAAACCCTATAGAACCCTTTAAAGGAACCCTTAAAGGAAACCCATAAACCCCACATTTTAACTACCCATGGAACCTCCAAGTAGCCGAGCTTTTTTAGGCTTTCGGTGGCCTGCACAGTGACCGCCGCCACGGCTGCCTGCATGCGGGCATCGACGGTAGGCCTGGCAAGGGTCTCAAATCCTACCTATTTTGGGGTACTATTTTAGGGCCCCCCTATTTTCGGAAACCCATATGTATATATCTGTATATATATATATATGTATGTATATATATATATATATATTCATATAATATATATATATATATATGTATATACAATGAGCTTCTCGGGGCTGTTGGCATCTGGTCGCAGCGGCTCGCGCCGCTGAGAAGCCATTCTGCAAGCCTCATGACGTTGCCCACGCTGCTCTCCGGCCTTGGCTGATGTGATACACCAAGCATGACAACAAGTTGTGCGGACACTGCAGATTCTGCGCTGCTCAGTGCCGCGCAGCTCCCTCGGAGCCTCCTGCAAGAACATGCGTTGCGGGCTCTTTTGGCTGGTCTGAAAAGTATTCTATTGTGCCCTAGGCTCCTGCATACTGAAGTCGGCCCTCATGCTGGCAAGGCCGTCCTGCACTCTGCAATCGCTAGAACTTTTGTGAAGCAGCCGCGAAAGACCATCAACATGTGGGCTACGAGATTTTCACGTCGCCCTATCTCAGGACAGGAGCTCACTTTGGCTGGTGCTTGCTCACTTCTATCGCCAGTGGGGCCGGGGGAAATTGAAACCTTTCAAAGGAGTATGACAAGCTCTCTACATCCCTTCTGGTCCGTGGGGCTCTCGTGCATGGAGCGGCTCACACCTGGCAAAGGCAGGAAGCTTCGATGCTGCCCTTCAAGTCTCATCTGCAAGGGTTGCCAAGTTGCAAACACCATGACGTCGGAATGACCAAATGCTACAGCAACAAAAGGATCATTTCGCGCATGAGATCAATTCACACTCTCTCGCTCTCACATTCTCATTCCGAATGTAGCTAATGGCATCCCCAATCGGAGCTGGAGCTGCTCCAACTTGAACCTTGAACCCTGGATGTTGCTAGAGTCCCTCGTGCTTACAGCCCAGGCCTACCGCATCAGGGACCGACAGAGGAGTGGTCCTGCTGCGTGGACCGAACTCTACAGCTGAAGTGTTTGCAAATGCTTCCTCGATGGCCTTTGAGAATTTAGCCTGTTCTGCAGGAAATCGCGACGGATCACGACAGCTCAGCAACTCGCCTGCCTTTTTCGAGCCGCCACCGAACGCCAAGAGCTTGCCGGAGCGCTTCAAGCTCTTAAGATGGCAGCCTTGCTCCTCCTACTTTAAATCTTGTCTTGACAAGGCGATTAAAGAGACAGAACAGGCTTGGGAGCCTGTTCTTCAACGGCGGTCCCTTTGACTGCAACATCGTGTGTGATTCAGGTGCTCTGTCCTTCAGGTCTTTCCACTGCACAGCTCTCTGCATTTCGATTTCTTGCAGCTATGGCAAAACCCTCAGCCGACTTGTCAGAGGGGCCGACCTCACTAGCACCGAGACTCTGCGATGGGCAGAAGCTCGTGCTAGGAGCAGCCCGATCATGCTGTCGCAACGGTGAGCTCTCGGCAGCTCCGCTTATCGGATGACAGATCATGCAAGTCGCCTCAGGGTGCTAAATTTGCCTTGTCGACGTTTGGTGGTAACACGAACGTCACTGCGAAGCTCCAGACACTTTGCGAATGTTGCTCATTGTTTGCTGCCGCTGCCGCTGCTGCTGCTGCTGCTGCTGCTGCTGCTGCTGCTAGTTGTGGCCATGACAGTTGTGATGCTCATGAAACTGATGAGGGTTCATGTTCATGATGATAAGACAAGCGCTAAGAGTGTTCTTGTGCCTATCCTTTCTATGGTTTGCTGATGCTAGTAGCATCACGAAGGTTCCATCGGGCAGTAGGTTAGAGGAGTTCGTTGATACACCTGTTTCACATCACTAACATTGTCATACTAACTTTGCTCAATGATGATCCCAACTCAATCCTGCAACCGCCGCTGCTAATGACCGTGATATGCTGGACACAGTCTGACGATCGTCGCCCTGTGCACACATCAGCCTTATGAATACCAAGTTTCGTTCAGTAATGCTAGACTGATAAGAGCGACAGAAGTGACCGTATATTGCTCCTTACGCCAGCTGTCGAATGTTGGGTGCAGAGTGGGGCATTCTGTTTCGAGTTCGGAGAACCTGGTACACTAAGCCTACTCGAAGCAATTATTCCTTCTCATCCCTTCAACTTCGAGCATGTGATGGGCGAAGCTGTGCGAGAGAGTGAGCAATTGGCTGCTCTGACTTGCGCTGAGCAGCTTCTGTGCTCCGGCAAAGGAAGACCAAGACACGACCAAAGACACGGACGTTCTTAGGCCCTGGTATTTCGTGCTGGTTCCTGGGTCGCTGTTGTCTCAAAAAAAGTCAATGCTCCAGGGCCCGTAAGCACCGTGATTTTTACCGGCGCCTCCCCTTTGGACACATGCGTCGCAAGGCTCACTCCAGCGCACTTTGACAAACAAGTTTGTGCACCTGTTGATGGCACCAACTGCTCACTGTGATGGAACATATCAGCATCTCAACAGACCGTTGACCCTCACTCAGACCCTTTTAAAGGTGTAACTCGCCCAAACTGCTTTTGGATCGGTTTGCAACGGAAGCAACTCCGACCGTCTCTGTTCTGACTCCGCCGCAAGATACCCTCGAAGCGGCCTTCCAGTGAGATCTCTGACACTCGCGCCCTGGGCAAGAAGAGCTGGTAGCAGGAGCACGTGCTTTAAGACATGGCGGCGCTCATTGATTTCCAGTTGCCACTGCTGTTATGCACTGAACGATGCTTCTCAAGAAGCTACCCGCTCCAGAGCGGGAGCGGGACCAGGAAAATCAGCGGTCCTAGCAGACTTTGTGCCACTCTCTCGGGCTCAGGCCGCAGTAGTAGGTGCAGTGACAGCCTTGGCAGAGAAGGGACTGCCTTTTACCCGCGGCGTGACAGACTTGTGATGATTTCTGCAAACCCCCATGAAGCGAATTGCTTCTTTAACTTTCATGTAACTGTGGCTTCTGGGGCCCAGAAGCCCACACGTCTCAGCAGCGCACGGCTGCAGCAGTTCGCCCTGGAGACAGGCTGCCCGCAGTAGCCGCATCGCTCCATCCTTGCATGTCTGAGCATATGAGAAAAAGGAGCAGGATTACTATCGGGAAGTTCGATGGGTGACCT